CTGTGTGACTTATGATATTTAGCATCTTTCACATGTTTATTGAGATCCACATATTTTTCATGAAGTATATACTTAAGTCTTTTGTGTATTTTTTATTATGTATATTTTATTTTCGTTGGATTTTTTAAAGTGTTTTTTATGTATTACTAGAGGCCTGGTGCATGAAATTCATATACAGGGAAGGGGTGTACCCTTAGAACAGCCTGCACCCTCTTCAATCTGGAACCCCTCAGGGAATGTCCATCTGCTGGTTTAGGCCTGATCCTGGGGATGGCCTGTCATCCCTCTCACAATCTGGGACTGCTGTCTCCTAACTGCTCACCTGCCTGCCTGCCTCATTGCCCCTAACTTCCCCCTCCTGCCAGCCTGGTCACCCTTAACCACTTCTGCTTGCTGGCCTCATCGCCCCTAACTGCCCCCCTCCCCTGCTTGTGTGGTAACCCCCAACTGCCCTCTATTGCTGACCTGGTCATCCCTCACTGCCCCCTTGTCAGCCTTGTTGCCCCCAACTGCCCCCTCTCCCACTGGCCTGGTCACTCCCAACTAACCCCCCCTGCCGGCCTGGTCGCCCCATGCAGCCTGCTGTTCAGTTCTTTGGTCATCTCTCACTAACCTCCTGCCAACCTGGTCACCCCATGCAGCCTGCTGTTTAGCCATTACTGATACTGTGACAGCATCCCAGACAATTTGCATATTCTTCTATTATTAGTATAGATGGATACAAAGTCAGATATACTCTGTAAAAAAAAAATCTCCTCGTCTGTGGCTTGTCTTCCTATTCATTTATCAGTACATCAGAGCAAACTTTTTTTTTTCATTTTGATGAAGTGTAATTTATTCTTTTCTTTTATGGACCAATCTTTTCATGTTGTATCTAAGAATTATGCCTAACCCATAGTAACAAAGATTCTCTCCTTTTCTAGTAGTTTAAAGCATTACATTTTATCCTTAGATCTGTGATCCATCTTGAGTTAATTTTTGTTCTTGGAATGTGAGATCGATATTGATTTTGTTGCTTATGGATATCCAGTTGTTCTAGCAAATTTATTGAAAAGAATATTCTTTTCACCTTTCTCAAAAATCAGTAACCTATATTTGCATGGGTCTGTTTCTGAACTGTATTCTGTTCTGTATTTGCTGTGATCTCTGTCAGGGGTTAACTTTTTCTGCAAAGCACCAGAATTGTAAAAATTTTAGGTTTTGTAAGTCAAAAGGCAAAAATCCAAGTTATTATGTAGATACTTGTGTAACAAGAGAGAAAACGAATTTCTATGAATTTTTGATAGAATTTAAAATATAATAACTGATAAATGTGCAATACAATATGCAAATGATGCATTGTAGAATTGTATATATGAAACCTGTGTAATTTTATTAACCAGTGTCATCCCAATAAGTTCAATTATAAATATAATAATTGAGTACAATTTTGTAACACAGCTCTACTAATAAGAAGAATGGAATTGGTGGGGATAATATTTTGTTTAATAAGGGTTCAAAATTAGTGTTTCTTCTCATCAAAATTGGATACAAATGTTCACCTAGTAATGCATATTTATAATAAAATTTTACATATTTTTATCTTTGAAAAATAACTTTGCACAAAAGTGATACGTATAGCAGAGGAAAGGCTGCGCTTTGTAGAGTGCTGAAAAGTACTGCAAGGTGATGAAAGAGCCACATACAGTCTGTCATAGCTATTCAACTCTTCACTGTGGATAAACTTTGCCATAGACAATGTAAATAAATAAGTCTAGATATGTTCCAATAGAGATTTATTTATAGGTACTAAAATTTGAATTTCCTATAATTTTCACTTATCACTAAAGATTATTCTTTTTTATTTTTTTCAACCATATATACAAATTTAAAAGCATCCTTAGGAACATATAAAAACAGACGATATATAGGCTAGATTTGTTCTATGATCTGTAATGTGTTTACCTCACTTCCCTATTCTGTTTCTATTCTTGGCCTATACCATGTTGTCAGGATAATTGTAGCTTTGTGCAATGTATTAAAATCAGGCAACCTGAATCTTCAACTTCGTTCTTTTCCAAAATTGTTTTGGCTAGTCTAGTTCCTTTGCTTTTCCATATAATTTTTTTAATCAGTTTATTGATTTGTACAAAAAAATCCTGCTTAGATTTTTGTTGGAATTATGCTTAATCTACATTGGGTACAATTGATATCTTAACAATATTAAAAGAACTGGTATATCTCTAGATATATTTAGATCTTTTTTCATCTGTAGTTTTCTGCATATAGATTTTAGAATTTGCACATATTTTGTTAAATTTATACCTAAGTGTTTCATGGTTTTGGTTAGAGCCATCTTTTTTTAAATGTAGATTGTATCATGTTGTTTCCCCAGTGTAAAACCCGTCAGTGGCTTCACACTGCTCTTAGGATAAACTCTAATCTTTAAAAGCCTAAAAACTCTGAATGATCTAGGCTAGATTTAGCCTAATTTTATTCTGTTCTTCACCTTATTCAAAATGTTCTAGTCTTAGACTAGCAGGAAATGGTTTTATCAATTAAGGGGTTTAGCTTTTAGAATACTTGAAAGAGTAAATAAAACTTTAAACAAACATTTTAAATATGTATATTTTAACCTTATTAAAGAGAGCAGTTCAGCCAAAACCAGTTTGGCTCAGTGGATAGAGTGTCAGCCTGCAGACTGAAAGGTTCCAGGTTCGATTCCAGTCAAGGGCATGTACCTTGGTTGCAGGCACATCCCCAGTAGGGGGTGTGCAGGAGGCAGCTGATCGATGTTTCTAACTTTTTATCTCTCTCCTTTCCTCTCTGTAAAAAAATCAATAAAATATATATTGTACTTTTTAAAATAGAGCAGTTCGGTGATCTTCAGCAAATCATGAACTTAGAATTTTGCTGGGTAGTTGGGCTCTCTGTATGGAATTCTTTGATCTTTAAGTCTTTACTTTATGAGGATTGTTTGTTTTGTGTTGTTTGTTGATTTGTGTGTGTGTGTGTGTGTGTGTGTGTGTGTGTTTATGTGTCTGTGTGTGTTTATTTTGTTTTGTTTTTTTATTAACCCTCACCTGAGGATATTTTTCCATTGATTTTCAGGGAGAGTGGAAGAGAGAGGGAAAGACAGAGTGAAACATCTATATGAGAGAAACACATCAATTGGTTGCCTCCTGCACAAGCTCCTACCAGGGCCTGGGCCAGTGAGGAGCCTGCAACCAAGATATTAATAGATGCCCTTGACCAGGATCGAACCTGGAACCCTTTGGTCCACAGGCCAAGGCTCTATCCACTGAGCCAAACCAGCTAGGAATATGAGTATTGTTTACAAGGTACTTAGTTTTGTTTATATTTGTTAAAGAAAATATTTTTTCCTTCCTAATAAACATGCTGAAACTTGACAAAAAGGCTAGTTTTCTGACCAAAGCAAGGATCCTGTCACTGTACATGAATGAAGTTAATTTTTCCAGCTAAAATGGTTCTTACATTGCATATCTTCTGCCAACTTTATTATAGTATCTAAAGTAGAAATGTAAGACTAATGATATGGTGGGGGAAGGTCTGGAACTATGTGCCTAAGACAAGAGAGTCACAAGATTCATTTTTAAAAATTAACTTTTAAACTGGTACTTTAATCAACCACTATTTATTCAGCTCCTTATGCTAGATATATAGAGATGAATATGATATAGCCTAGGACTTAAAGAAGTTAAAAAATTTCTTAAAATGAACAACAGTCACAATTAAAAGTGATTGTAAATGGAGAAATAAGTAGCCCAGTAGGATTAAGAGTTTGATAAGACTACTTAATTTTCAAGATGTGAGACTAGAAAGGAGACAGTCTAAAGGGCTTATATTCCATTCAATAACTAGAGGTTCCAATACATATAGAATTGTCTGGAGAACTTAAAAAAATCAGATTCCCAGTCTCATCCCTCAGAGATTGACTAGGTATGTCTAGGGTGGTTTCCCAGGTGGTTCTTATTTAGCTAGCAAACTCTAGTCTGTATACTGACATTTAATACATTTAATAGTCAATGCAATAGGTAAGATTGAGCCACGGAATAGTTAAACTAGGTAAAAGGATGATCATATTAACATTTTAGAAAGTTATATCCAATGGTAGTATAGAACAGTAAAGTCACCTGAGAATATCATTAAAATGCAGATTTTGATTAATAGATCTAAGATACTGCCTTTCTAACAAGCTCCAAGTTGAGGCTGATACTACTTGACTGGAGACCACTGTTTGAATAACAAGGAAGAGAGGTTAGATTAGAATGGGGTGAGACTAAAGACATAAAGATCAGGTAATTGCCTATTGCAGGAATCTAGGCAAAATATCTACTCCGTGTTTGGTAATGGCAAGAATAAGTTCTAGTGACATGTAATAGGTGATATTGGGAAGACTAATTTAGTGAGTTAGTAGGATGTGGTGTTAGAAGTGAGAGGAGAGATGCTGAAGGTTGAAGTTTAGCTATCTAGGTTGATGGCATTAATTGAACTAGAATAAAAGACAGAGGAAGAAGGTGGCCTTGGGGGTAAAAGTGGGCTGGCTAGAATAGAATAGAATAGTTACTTAGAGTTGAGAAAAGTGATAACCAGCGGGTTAGTTTTTAATGCATTGAGTTTGAGGAGTCTGTGAGATACCCAAAATGTAAAGGGGTCAGTAGAAAAAAGGAACTCACAATAGACTAAGAAGTGTCAGATATGTTAGTCAGTAGACTAATAAGTGTCAGATATGTCAGCTGTTTGAAAGGCATTTCCAGGAGGGAAAGTCAGAGTATCATTGCCACAGAGACATCAAACAAAAGATTAGATATGGTTCTATGAGAGTGCATAAAATTATACTTTATAACTATCCAAAATGCTAATTGACTAAAAGGAGTTTATTAGTTTTTCCTCTCAATCTTTTAATTTAAGGACCAGAGCCAGTTTTTTTAAATTATTCATCATGAAAAGCCTCATAGTGCCTTTTCCATTCAGATTTTCTTCTTTTTCCCCCCCTACAGATCAAGAGCTGCTAGATACAATTGAAAGTTTTGCCATGCACTGAAAGGGAAACATTGTATGTGAAGTTCTATTTTCTAAAATGTCTGCCTGTAACACCTTTACTGAGCACGTTTGGAAACCTGGTGAATGCAAGAATTGCTTTAAACCTAAAAGCTTGCACAAGCTCCCTCCAGACCCTGAGGAGACAGCCATCACCCACAGCCATGTGAAAACTAATGCCAATCACAGTAACAACCACCATATCAGGAACACTGCAAATTTCCGGCCTCCTGTTGCTAAAAAACCCACTATAGCTGTGAAGCCCACTATGATGGTGGCAGATGGGCAAAGTGTATATTGTGAGCTTAACATCCAAGGACACTGTGAGAACACACCTGTCATTATAGAGAGGAACCGAAATAGGACAGCCTTGAATCAGAAACCACTCAATAATAATAATAATAATGAAGATGATACTGAAGGAGTTAGCCATGTTTCTAAACCTTTTGGCAATAATGACAGTGCAAAGAAGATATCAAATAACAATAATGGGCTAACTGAAATGTTGAAGGAGATAGCAGGCTTGGATACTACTCCTCAGATAAGAGTAAATGAAACAAATGCCAAAGAAATATTCTTAGGAAGAATAAATGATTGCTATAAACGATCTTTGGAAAGAAAGCTTCCACCAAGTTGCATGATGGTTGGGATAAAGGATACTCAGGGCAAGCATGTTATTCTGAGTGGGAGCACAGAAGTGATCAGTAATGAAGGGGGCCAGTTCTGTTACCCAGAGTTTTCTAGTGCAGAGGAGTGTGAGGAAGATGTACTTTTCAGTAACATGGAAGAGGAGCATGAAAGCTGGGATGAAAGTGATGAAGAGCTGTTGGCCATGGAGATTCGTATGAGAGGACAACCTCGATTCGCTAACTTTAGGGCAAACACCTTGTCTCCTGTTCGATTCTATGTGGACAAAAAATGGAATACTGTTCCTCTGCGAAATAAGTCTCTGCAGAGAATCTGTGCTGTAGACTATGATGATAGTTATGATGAAATCCTGAATGGTTATGAAGAGAATTCTGTGGTCTCCTATGGACCAGGAAGCATTCAGAGCATGGCATCATCTGACTCCACATCACCAGATTCTTGTTTAACAGAAGAATCACGTTCTGAGACAGCCAGTAGTTTATCCCAGAAGATCTGTAATGGGGGAATATCTCCTGGTACCCAAGGAGATTCTAAGGACATGAAGGAAAGTGAGCCTAATTATGAAAGTCTCTCTGGTAACCATCAAGAGGATTTGTCACAAGCATCCAAAGGTTCAGATAAAGTTCCAGAGACACACAAAGCAGTCCTTGCTCTCCGATTAGAAGAGAAAGATGGCAAGATTGCTGTACAAACTGAGAAGCAAGAAAGAAAAGCCTCTACAGATACTGCTGGGCAAGCAGTAATCATAAACCTCATTCCTGTACAAGAGCAAGCAAAGCCTTACCGCATAGTGAACCTTGAGCAGCCGTTGTGCAAGCCATATACTGTTGTAGACGTGTCAGCAGCGATGGCTAGTGAGCACCTTGAGGGCCCTATTAACAGCCCCAAGACAAAAATCTCATCTTCTACTCCAAACTCTCCGGTGACATCACCTATATCAACATCAGGACAACTAAGTGCCCATTTCCAAAAATCCAGTGCAATTCGATACCAGGAAGTATGGACATCCAGTACCAGTCCACGACAAAAGATACCTAAGGTGGAATTAATTAGTAGTGGGACTGGATCAAATGTCCCTTCAAGGAAAAACTGTCACAAGTCAGCACCTACTTCACCCATTGCTGCAAATGTTTCCTCTAAAACCATCCCTGTTAAGTCACCTAATTTGTCTGAAATAAAATTTAATAGTTATAACAATGCTGGTATGCCTCCTTTTCCAATTATCATTCACGATGAGCCAACTTATGCTCGGAGTTCCAAAAATGCTATCAAAGTTCCCATTGTAATTAATCCAAATGCATATGACAATCTAGCCATTTATAAAAGTTTTCTTGGAACAAGTGGAGAACTTTCAGTGAAAGAAAAAAGCACAAGTATGATAAGCCATACTTATGAAGAAATAGAAACTTCAAGCAAAGTGTCTGATGACACCACTGGCAATCCCACTGACTGTCCACAAGCTAAAGGGTTTTCAAATAGCACAGAATGTAAAAGGGGCTCAGTGGCTCAGAAGGTCCAGGAGTTTAACAGCTGTCTGAACAGAGGTCTGCCTTCCCCACAGAGAAGCTGTAGTTCCAGCCACAGCTCCCCAACTAAGATCCAGAGAACCACTCAAGAACCTGTTGCCAGAACAGAAGGCACTCAGGAGTCTCAGATGGTGGGCAGTGGCAGCAGCAACAAGGAGAATGCAAGCATAGTGCTTTCTCAAATTGTGGCTTCTATCCAACCCCCACAGTCCCCTCCAGAAATGTCCCAGTCAGGCTTTAAAACTTGCAGTGTGGAAGAGCTTTATGCAGTTCCTCCTGAGGTTGATGTTGCTAAAAGTATACCAGTCCGGCCAAAATCTCTCTTTCCATCTCAGGCCAGTGGTGAGCATGAAGCACCTCAGACCACAGAAAATCTTACCACTAAAGTACAGAAAGATCCACTGGCAAAGCAAGTCACAACCTCTCCCTCCAAGTTAGTGATTAACCCCCAGAGTGAGCCATCACCTCCTTTTCCTCCACCACGTTCTACGTCCTCCCCTTACCATGCAAGTAACCTTTTGCAGAAGCATTTCACCAACTGGACCAAGCCAACCAGCCCTACTAGGTCAACAGAAGCTGAATCTGTTTTGCACTCTGAAGGCAGCAGGCGGGCAGCTGATGCAAAACCTAAACGCTGGATATCATTTAAAAGTTTCTTCCGTCGTCGGAAAACAGATGAGGAGGACGACAAAGAGAAAGAACGAGAGAAAGGGAAACTGGTGGGTCTGGATGGCACAGTCATCCACATGCTGCCCCCTCCTCCAGTTCAGCACCAACACTGGTTCACAGAGGCAAAAGGAGAGTCCAGTGAGAAGCCAGCCATCATCTTCATGTACAGGTGTGACCCTGCCAAAGGCCAGCTCAGTGTAGATCAAAGTAAGGCCAGAGCAGACCAGTCAGCAATCATGGAGAAGGGTGGAACACAGGATGGGTTACTACAGGACTCAGAGGAGAAGAAGAAAAGGAGTTATTCTTCTCCATCACAGATTCCTAAAAAAATTCTCAGGTATGTAAAATAGACTAGCAGAATGTGGAAACTATTTACATGTTTATCTTTAAGATTGCATAAGAGCATTTTTTGTTTGTAAGTAGCACATAGAGGCCATCAATCTTTATAACTGCATTCCAAGATTAGAATATTATTGACGTGCTCTTATTGCACTGAACAAGGTTTATGGCCCTGGATCTTTAGCTAAAGTATCTTGTTACATTCAGTGACTGCCGAGGGGCTTTAACATAGAAAAGCAAATCTATAATACCTTAGTAGCAATAAATGCTACTTTGAAATGCTATGATAGTATGAGGATAAAACAGGAGTAAGTGAATAAAAGGTGGTGGTGTTCTTTCCCTCTTCAAGTGTTATCTCTATATGCAGGATGTTATTTTAAGGGAATATTTGTGTTTTATTGCTGTCTCTGTCCTTCTCCCGAGTGTTATGGAAGGGAGCGTTGCAATTCATAGTTATTTAACAGGTAAGTAAAACAGAAGTTGGTTATTGATATTGAGACCCAAAGTTATAAACTTCAGTTGGGCAGATAATATACCCACATCAATTCTCTAGGCATTATATTTTATTTTTTATATTTTAACAACTGTTTATTGACCATCTACTCTGTCTAAGGCACATCCCAAATATTTATCTCAAATACTTATAACAGACCTATAAATTAGTTGTACTCTTCAGATGAGGAAACACAACATCTGGGAAGTTAATAATTGGTCAAATTCATATAGCTAGTAGTTGTCATTCAGAATTCAAACCCTGATTTGACTCCCTCTAAAGTCTGAATCATCCAATAATGAAGCATTGTTAATGAACACAAGATCATACAAAAATTTTATGTTTTTACTTCTAATCATTTAAATGAACATTCGTGTTTAGGAAACTTAGCTTTTTTCTTTCTCACTTACATTGTGAGCAAAATTACTGACTACCAATAAAAACAAGAAATAGTTATGCCACATTTGTAGAAAATGGATGATTTTCTTATATCCCCTGTCCTTTTTACTATTTTTTGTTTTGCAAGTTAGAAATAATTTTAATATATTCTCTAATAAGAATGGGTATGCATACATGCCTGTGTCCCCACAGTTTACAATATATTTCTTGTTTAATTAAATTTATTGGATTACAGGTTTCACCTGTAAAACAAAATAAAATCAAAGATATGACCTGAGTATTCCATTCACCTGATTCTGAGTGTTCTTCCCTCTTGACTTATAATAAACCTTCTCTCTTAGGTTTGGTCTTTTCTTTGGTAAATACAGCAACCTGATGATAGGGTGGTTTCTCTCACCAGCTTTTCTTTAAAAAAGTATAAATAAAAATGAGGTAAACAGTTAATGCCTTCACTTTTTCTAGCAAAATGTCAGGAAGTTTTGTATATATTCTTTCCTAAAATAAGTTTTTCATATATCTCAAATACTTATGACAAATAGTTGTCAAAATGCTAGATTTCTTGTTTTCCTTAAATCCATATTATAACAAAGTAAGTAAAATAGTGGTTATAGCCGAAACTGGTTTGGCTCAGTGGATAGAGCATTGGCCTGTGGACTGAAAAGTCCCAGGTTCGATTCTGGTTAAGGGCATGTACCTTGATTGCGGGCACATCCCCAGTAGGGGTTGTGCAAGAGGCAGCTGATTGATGATTCTCTCTCACTGATGTTTCTAACTCTCCTTTCCCTCTCTCTTCCTCTCTGTAAAAAATTAATGAAAAATATTTTTAAAAATAGTGGTTATAAATGTATTCCTGGAAATAATAGTCTTGCCATTGGTGGTTGAAAGTGGGTGATAGAATGTTGTACTTCAGTAGTAATAAAATGCATATATTGTAAGTTAGTGTTTTCCTTAGAAAAGAAGCAATTTTAGCAGCACGTGGTTGGAGTTACCTGTGAAGGAATGGCAGATAGTAAATGGTTTTGCTCCTCATTAAGAATGTCTGTGGTATATTTATCTGCATCCTGGAAGGCACAGTCAGGGAATGACTTGGGCTCTCTCTGTGGAATGATACTACTTTGGCTGCATGTCACTGTATATGGTTTAGACTCAGTAGGGGTGTCGAACTCAATCAGAGAAGGGGCCAAAATCTAAAATCCAGCCTAAATCGCGGGCCGAATGGTTTACTGAACAGTCATAAACTGTCATTGTGATGGAAACGCAGCGGAGTGCAGTGATGACAGCGCGGTGCGGGCCACATTGCAAGGCCTGGCGGGACGGATTTGGCCCGCGGGCCTTGTGTTTGACACATGTGGTTTAGAGGGTGGCTCATGCCCTTGACATGGCAGACCCCTTACTGTAAAGTTTATATTTTCACAGATTTTGATTGTAAATGGGCCCTTTCTTTCAAAATTTACCACTTCTTTATAGGTAACATCCATGAACCCAAATGGTGCAATTGGTTTGCCCTTTTGGTTCTCCAGATTATTCCAGCATTATAATAACTGGAGAGTGTTAAAACACAGATTGCTTGGCTCCCACCCCCATAGACTGACTCAGTAGGTCTGAGGTAGTTCCTTATAATTTGCATTTCTAACAATTTTTCAAGTGATAACTGATGCTGATGCTGATGCTGCTGGTCCTGGGGCCACACTTTTTAAACCACTGACCTCACCACAGTTGTAAATATATGTGCTGTAGTCTAAATAAAAGAATTTTGAGGTATTAAGCTTTTCTTAGAGGCACATTGGAATTTTCAAATTTTATCATATTCCAGACTAAGAAGAAAAGGTGGTATGAAGTAGTTTTTATTAACTTTTTAAAATGTTTAAACATGAATACTCTTATTGAGAAAAGTATACAATTTGCCTTTACAATAATTACCTCATTTACTTGAAGCAACTTTCAGAGGAAAAACATTACTGTCAAATTTCAGCATTTATCTTTCCGGCTTGACTGCAATGTAACCACCCTATGCCTGGAAACACTGCTGGAAGAAATGAAAATACAAGATTTTCTTTATAGTAAATGAAGATTCCAAATTCAAACTATATATAAGGAAATAAAAGTACTCTACTAAAGGCCAGACCCTAGACTTTGAAAGATGAGAGTTTGTAGAGCCATTCATTATGGGATGAGATTGTCATTAAGTTCATTTATTTGACTGTTCAATCAACATAAATTGAATATTTTAACAGTGCCATAGGGACAAATGGGAGAAAAATGATCACACTGCTGAAATATTGCATATGACTTCAGCCATCCTGTCAGGTCCTTCTATGTATAGTGACTATAATGATACCACATAGAATTAATTAGAGGATAAAATGAGAAAACATGCAAAAGATTAGTACAGGATCTAGCATATATTAGATGCTTTAAACATGTTAGTAACTCCTCTGCCCTCAATAGGATAAGTGCTAAAATAATGTATATGTTGAGTGGTACAAAAGTATAAAAAATGATGATGAAATCAGCTTAAAGGAGACTTCTCAGAAATGAACTGCAAACCAGAATCTAAAAAGCAAACAGGATTCTGCCAGCTGGTTGGAAAAGATATTGTAGGCAAAAAGAATAACATATGCAAGGTCGCAGAAATGAATGTGGCAAACAGAAACAGGTGACTGGAAAAGATAATGAATATGGTCCTGGCCTGGTAGCTCAGTTAGAGCATCATCCCAATAAGCCAAAATCGCAGGTTCGATTCTCCAATCTGGCACATATAAAAATCAGCCAATGAATACATATATAAGTGGAACAATAAATCAGTGTTTCCATCTCTCTAAAATCAATTAAAATATTTTAATTAAATTTATTGGAGTGACATTGGTCAACATGAACATATAGGTTTCAGGTGTGGGTTCTATATTACAAGATCTGTATATTGGATCATGTGCCTACCACCTGAAATAAAATCTTCTCCTGTTACCATAAATTAGAGATCCCTTCTCTTCCAACCCCCTTCCTTCTGGCAACCATCACACTGTTTGTGTTCACCAGTTGCCGTTTTATATCCCACATATAAGTGAAAACATATAATTCTTAGCATTTTCTGACTGATTTATTTTATTTAGCATAATGTTCTCAGCATCCATACATGTTGTTGCAAATGGTAGTATTCCATCCTTTCTTGTTGCTGAGAAGTATTCCATTGTGTATATGTATCTTTTTTTAAAAAATCTTTATTGTTCAGATTATTAAAATGTTCCTCTTCCCCCTCCATAGCTCCCCTCCCCTGGTTCCAACCACACCCCAGGCTTCGTACCCCCCTCCCCCATTGTCCCATAGATGTAAGATCTTTGTCCAGTTTCTTTCTGCACATCCCCTCTCCCCGCCCACACACACACACACACCACTTTTCCCCTGAGAATTGTCAGTCTGCTCCGTTTCCATGCCCCTGATTCTATTACATTCACCATTTTATTCGGTTCATCAGATTTTTTTATTCTTTTGATTTTTAGATTCACTTGTTGATAGATATGTATTTGTTGTCATTTTGTTGTTCATAATTTTTTATCTTTTCTTTTTTCTAATTTTGCTCTTTTTATTTTTTTAAATAAATCTTTATTGTTCAGAGTATTACAGTTGTTCTTTCCCCCCCATAGCTCCCCTCTACCCGGTTCCCACCCCACCCTCTGCCTTTACCCCTCCCCCCTCCACTTTCCTCATCCATAGGTGTATGATTTTTGTCCAGTCTCTTCCCACACCCTCCATACCCTTTCCCCCAAGAATTGTCAGTCCACTCCCTTTCTATGCTTCTGATTCTATTATATTCACCAGTTTATTCTGTGTCATCAGATTTTTTATTCACTTGATTTTTAGATTAACTTTTTGATAGATAGGTATTTGTTGTTCATAATTTTTATCTTTATCTTTTTCTTCTTCCTCCTCTTCTTAAAGAATACCTTTCAACATTTCATCTAATTCTGGTTTGGTGGTGCTGAACTCCTTTAGCTTTCTCTTATCTGTGAAGCTCTTTATCTGACCTTTGATTCTGAATGTTACCTTTGCTGGGTAGAGTAATCTTAGTTGTAGATTCTTGCTGTTCATCACTTTGAATATTTTTTGCC